GTGATATCAGCCCTCCTGCTCGTTTCCTCTGGACGTGTTGTCCTCACTCAGTTCTGAAGCTTGTCTGGGTTATTTCTCGGGTGCAATTTCCCGTGAGTGTGTTCTGCACTCCTGTTCTGCTTCATGGCACCAGAGGTTACAGGGTTTGTGGATGAGGGTTTGTCTCAGTTCTGCCTTTGGATGCTCAGGTCCACACTGTGAATTGCTATAGTGCCCTGGATTTCAATAGAGCAACATTAACGTACACCACCTGAGCATCCAACCCTTTGTTTCTGGGGCAGAGGGTGTTTAAATGCTTCCCTGCTGATAAGGCTTTCTTTTGAATATAGACAGATAAATGAATTGCACAAGGTTTAAAGCATGCAGTGACTTAGAAGTAGAGCAGCTTCTGTACTCTTATCAGTCCATGTGCCCACTCTTACTCCACAGTAGGTGAAACTTAAGCCGTGCAAAATTAGCTCTGCTCCTTTATTGAGTAATTACCCCAGTTAGGTTTCCCTTTTTGTGAGGTAAGGGCAGGCATATGGACAGTTACGCACCTTATCTCTCTGGCATTCGCATTGCACTTTTGTTGGAGCGAGGATCTTGGGTATTTTACAAGAGAGAGAAAGGTGGTGTGTACACAAGAGCAGCTATGAGCCAAAGAGCAGTTTTTATAGGAGAAAGCAAAGCTGTTCTTTGTGCCCCTCCTGTGTCCCAGGCACACAAACTGAATCAAATCTATTCCCTCTGTTTAGGACCATGTCTGGAAACCTAGCCTCCCAATACAGTGCTATTTGAGTGGATTGCTAGTAGACAAAATGTTGTTAGCAGGATGGGTTGCTGATGTCTCTGCATACATGGCATTTGAAGGACACCGTGTTTGAACCCGTGGCTGTGTTCCCATGCCAGCCTTGCAGAAATAATGCTTGCTGTCACGTTTTGAGGCTCGCTGGGAATATCTCCCTTGATGTGGCCCTTGGGTTTCAGATTGGCATTGCTCTCTATTAGCTGGACCTCTACGCCACTGGCCATTTGTGTTGCTTCTGGCTATGATGCTTTTGTGTTTAATTGAAGCTTTTCTATTTGCCAATGATTTTTAGTGCTCTCCTGACCATCATGGAAACCAGTGACTGCTAGTTCCCAGACAAATACAGCACCACCAGCAACAGAGCAGCCTTTCCCACATACGCCACTCTCCCATGCAAAAACTAGCAATGCGACCAGATACCCGGGGCAGCAGGATGTGTGGGTGAAGCAGCAATTTCTAACTGTCACTGTGCTGCCAGTGTGATTGTGGGACAGAAACTGCTTCTGCCTCACGAAGTTGGCGCCTAGGACTGCTACTTAGTTATGCTATTGCTCCCATGCTGTATATATGTACTTGGTTTCAACGCTGCCTGAAGCAGCCATCTTTAAGGTTCATAAGCGGGCTCAATCCTTTATTTCTCTTAGGGCATGTCAACATGTGCTTTCACGCATGCCTAAACATAATGCGCATTTGCCTAAAGCACATTAAGGCGATTTAGGCACGTGTCTACATGTGCATGCATAAAACAGGTATCAAATTTTGAGCAAATAGCTAAATCGCATTGGCAAACATACAGATGCGCTAATGCGCATTAACGCGGATGTGTGGGCTGATTTTGGGACCAAAGTTAGTCCCAAGTCAATGGGCACACACCAATTAATGTGCGTTAGCTTGTCTACAAATTGGTTAATGCGCTTTAGCTATTCATGCACAAATCTGATACCTGCTTTATGCAGGTATCAAATTTGTGCATGAATAGCCTTAAATTGCCATTTTAAGGTGCACTAAGGATGTGCATGTGTAGACCCGCACCCTTAATGTGCCTTAAATCAAGCTAATGCACATTAAATGAGCACGTGTAGACCCACCCTTAGCCTGTCATCTCAGGGTGGCAAGAATAGGCTTATGTCTATGTAGGAATATTGCACTGGAATAATCTTTGGTGTGAATTTAGCCTGATCTAGTTAGACAAGATCAAAGGCTTGTGTTCAGGCTCTCCATTTTGAGTGATCATCTTGATTTACCTGAAGCCAGTTGGGACCAAATTGAAGCAAAATCAGTACATGCGTGACCACACAGGGATTTCTTTGGCTTAATAACATCAGTTTAAAAGCATATTTCATCTCGGGTTTATGTTTGACGTTTATCAGGACTGGCTGTTGTGGCTTCAGAACTTAATTTGAATTAACTTTCAAGCACAGATAAGCCCTAAATTATACAAGGATAAACGTCCTAAGTAGGCAAGGCTTTAGGGACACAAGCGATATGCTTATCTCTCAAAGTCTGATGCAGGGAGTTCCTTAAACTCGTTGAGTCCTTCTGTTGGCCTCAGAAGCTCTGGGACAGCACAGATATTCTTTGCAAGGCTTAGGAAAATGTCTCATAGTGACATGGCTGGCCACCTTTTCTGCTGATAAGAGAAAAGCTATCACATAGCCCTACTGTAGAGGACATTTGAGAGGCAACATTCAGCCAGAGATGAAGAAACTGTGTTTTCTTTATGGCTACAGGAAACTCTACAAAGTAAAAAGCAAATACAGGAAGAAAATATTTCAGAAGAGAGAGTGGAGGCAGCAGTATTGCACCAGGTCTTTCATAACAAACCCTCATCCTTCTCAAGGTTTAGGTGACCACAAAAATCATGCATGCTCTGTTGTTCTTTCAAACAGTACATATTGTGGTAGCTAGTGTTAGGCGCTCTGCAGTAGGAAATGCCTCCTCCCTCAACTGACACGGTTATGCTAGGAAATCTCTTTAAATGTAGACCAACTCCAGCTACACACTGGGAGGCTGTTGATTGCAGTAGCGCCCTTGGAGTCTGCAGTCAGCTCTGGGGTGGAGCCTGTGGAGAGCTTTTTTACTAGTGAAGCGGGGAGATCCTGGTTTGACTCCAGTTAAGGTTGCAGAATGGGAAGCTAAGGAAATCACCTTTGTATGTATTAACTGAGCCCACTTGATTGAGACTCCTCAATAGGCAGTGTTCTGGCAGTCCCTAAAAATCTGTCTCAATACTTTTCAGAACAGAGCCACCTCTTAATGCAGGGTATATCTATGCTGCAGTCATTCCTGGCCAGTGGCTTGTAAGACTCGAGTGTAGCTTGGCAGTTGGAGAAGCTCAGTAAATCATTCTGCACTTAGTCCATGCTATGCTGCTGTTGCCACGCAGGACCATGCTAGATCATTTAAAACTTGCTTAGGCATGTCCACACAAGCTGCACTCACTACAGTGATAACAGGGTAGACAGACATATCCTTAGCATGAAATTCTGGCCCAGAATGAAGTTAGCGGGACTTTTACTGTTGACTCCAAATGGAGCCAGGTTCTCACTCCTTGTGTTCACTATTAAAACAGTGAGGCAATGAAACAGATTGCTCAGGGATGTGGTGCAGTCTCCTGCACTGGAGGCTTTCAAAAGGAGACTGGATAAGGGATGATTTAGGAACAGCAGTCCTGCATTCGTGTATGCAGATGGGCCCAAATGACCCTCAAAGTCTCTTCTATCTCTCTAACTCTTTGTGAATTAATTCAGGCTTCCCAGAGAACTGGGAAACAGAACCCATTCTGGCTCTGCATTTACCTGCATCTCTCAGTTTGCATCAGGACTGTTTAAATCTTTTTCATTAGCAAAAAAAACTCTTTCCACCAAAAAAATGAAAATTCTGGTGAAAATCTTTCACTGTGACTGAAAGTTAGGCCAGCTCTAATCATGAGCTGTATCATTTGCTTTTCATATTGTAACTCAGTCCCTTTTCCTCTTCTATTGTTTTTCAGTGTCAGTGATGCAAACCAAAGGAGCACAGGGTGGTTAAAGCGAGCTTCCCTCTGTACCATCTCCCAAACAGATGCACGTTCAAGACTTCTGCAGACAACTATATAATGTGCAGCAGATGTGTAATGTATGAGTCACTCTTCAGCTTTCCAGGGTACAACAGATGGATTGCTCCAGATCCACTGTTCTCCTATCTTAGCACACTTTCCAAGTGCCTTTTATTGTTTTCCATTCCACATTAAAACTAAATGACAACATTTTAAGCTTCACCACGGTTTGGAGTGACCTCTGCAGAAGAGTATTTAAATGGTCTTATTTTACATTCCTCCACAGTTACATTATAGGACTTATAAGAGACATTGCCAGTATACGGAGTTTAGAGAGCTACAAAACAGCTGCGTGTGACACGTCGTCATTTATTTCCATGACTGTTTGAGAAATGGCTGAGAATCCACGGGATGCAAATTACTAGAAACTCACAGGATGGAGTGAAGCACAATAATGCGTCTGTGTGTATGGACCAATGGAAGTCTAGAGACAGTGACAGGTAAAAAAAAATCAAGAGGAGGGAAATGAGTGGAGCACTGTCTGAACTCCTACCCCCACTGGATTGCAACTGCTGTTTCCAAGAGGCTGTGGAAAGGAACCCACCAGTGAACATTGTGAATGACCTTCATTTGTCACTGTGACTGTCACTCTGCAATCAGGTACTGCAAAGCTTTTGCCAAATTCTCGGAGAGGAAGGCATTTAAAATGCCTGTGTGATTCGTGTGACTAGTGGAGATGATGGTATTGGCAGACAGCAAGCCAAGGACCCCTGAGCCCTTTTAAACACCAGCTCAGAGTCTGCCTGGACCAAACAAACTCCAGACGGAGTCTGTGTAGGCTTCATTCACCATCAGATATACAGATTTGTTCCTGGCCAGAGCTGTGTTTGCTGGGGCAGAGTCTGGCTGTTCCTTGCCTTGATGACTGGGCTGCTTTTGTGAATGAGGTGCAGCCTCACTGTGGGCCTTTAATTGTGTTTAATTTTGATTTGGTTTGGCCTAGATGCTGAGACCCTCTTTTTTTTTTTTTTTTTTCCAAGAAGAGGTTTGCAAAGAAAGATGAATGGGAGGAATCCCATGCTGTTCGCTTGCTGATGCGGAGATCAGAAAGTGCCAGCATCTCTCAACGTGCATTCCTCCTGCAGCCCTGAAAGGGAAACATGGTATAAGCTGTAAGGTGATTTATTAGCAGTTGGCTAAGCAGAGAAGAAAAAGCAGAACAAATACATCCCTGCCCTGTCCTAACAGAGAAGGAGAGAGAAACTGTGCCTTAAATCCATGGCTGTAATAAACAGTTATTTGCTCAGCCACACAGCTGTACCATCAGGAACAGAGCTCAGGGCTTTGTTTGCATCAATAACACTGAAAAAAGACTCTCAACACTGTTTTGCTGTATCACCATCCTCTACATCCTGCTGCTGTGTGGTGTTTTGTTTTTTTTAAGGGTTTTGAGGATCACATTGGCAGCTTCTGGCTTAAATGACTACGTGTTCCTCTGTCCTGGTATCATAAGCTGTCTAGCTGGCCCTGATGAAAGAGCATCCTTGGGGTACATTTTGGCCCACTTCCTGTTGAATATGAAGGAAGCAATCACTGGGAAAATTTCACTATAGAATGAGGGTAACTTTGGGGACTCAGAGCTCCATAAACGAGTCCTTGTAACAGTGCTGCACTGCTAGTCCATGATTAAGGAGCTTGTTCCAAAGTACACTGCCTTGATACAATCCTGGCAGATTTTGATGCGACTGGAGGTTGTTAGCCTAAACCACTTCTGAGTTCAGGGAGAAGGAAGAGTGGCAGAGCTGGTGCCCAGGGACTCATGGAGAGATTCCTTGAGCAGAGTCTTTTAACACGGGTCACAGTGGTCTCTGTCTTTGTCACCTCTGTCCTGCTCCTGGGTAAATGCTTGTTGTCATGGTGCCCCAAGCTACCCTGCCTTCGCTGGGTGGAACAAAGAGGCAGGCAGGGCACGCCGGACTCCATCCCTGTGCCCCTTCCCAAACTGGATGCGCTGTCTACTGTGTCTTGCCCCACGGTGACTCTGGAGGAGGTGGAGGGGTTTTATCGGGAGCTGCACACTCCAACTGGGGGCAGGATGGTGGTGAAGCAGCTGCTGAACAAGTTGCTGGTCTACGTAGGCAAGGAGGTGGACCACAGGGGTGATTGTCTCATGCTGATGGAGATGGGCATCTCACTAGCCATTCCACCAGGTAAATCTTTGCCAGCCCCTTTATCTTGGCTTCCTTCCTATGGCCGTCTCTCACCCCAAGTTGTACCAGGAGATGGGCTGTCCGCATGCATTAACGCTGATTTATTTTGGATGCTAACAGTGGAGCTGAAGGTGCAGGGGTCATCACCAGTTGAGAGCACAGAGTCTGAAGGGGATGGTGTGTAGCCAGTAGAGGCAGTCCACACTGATGTGGAAGAGTGGAGCTGAGAACCAGCCTATTCAAAAGGCCCAGAGCTTTGAAACTCACTTCTCCACTTAGGCTACCCTTCTGGGCAGGATGCAAACCCATCTTCTTTGCCAGGGGGTTGGGGAAGGAGTGGATGAGTAGAACAAAAGGTACTGGGGGTTGTATCTGCACAGCACAATGGAAGTGCAACTGGGCCAGGAGATGGTATATCCCTGTTAAACTTTAATCAAGCTGGAGACAGTAACAGCAGTAAAGAAACCAAGCTAGCGATCCCAGTATGTACCCAGTCCCTGATGAGAGGTACAGCCCACGCTAAGCTCTATGCCACTGCACCTTCCCCAGTATGGTTACCAATGCTAGCCACATTGGAGAGACCTCAGGTGCTCCTCCTTGTGCTACAGTCTTACCTTCATTGTGCTGTGGACCCATCCTAGGTCTCCTGAAGGACTGTTATGAAGGAAGGGCTGTCTTTCCTCCAGTGGTAGCCAGCTGAGTGATGCAACAGCTCTTGTAACCTTCCTATGAGAGATGGTCCTTTCTAATGGACCCAGAGTCGGGGATGGGCACTGAGCAAGTCACAACACACTCATCCAGCACTTTGTCATGTCCCCCCGGGTAATCTTATGTGATGCATAGGATTAGAGGAATTTGGAGGGGGGGAATGGGAAGCCACCACAGAGAGTGCTGGAGCAGGTCTGTGCGAGACAAACATTCAGCCTTGCTGGTTATGATTGCAGGGGCAGTAGCACTGGGACAGACCAAGAAGGTCTCTTTGGTGCTCATCTGGGACCTGTCGGATTCTCCCCCGCTCTCCAGCTCGCAGGCCCTCATCAGCCCAGTTGTGTACTGCGGGCCCCACGGTTCGGTGTTCCAGAAGCCATGTCAGCTAGTGTTCAAGCACTGTGCAGGGAGCGTGACTCAAGCAAGGGCTTATACTAGCAACACCGACCTCCTCAGTGCTAAGGCCTGGTGCCCCGTCCAGGACAGAGAGGAGCTCAAGGCAAGGACCACTAGGGATGAATGCCAGATACAGCTCTCGCACTTCAGGTCAGTGTGTTTTACATCTGCTTCATGTCCTAGCACTCAAAACCCTGAACCAGCCAGAGCCTTTCGAGCTGTGTGAGCAGCCCGAGACGAGCTGGGCATCAGGGTGCCTGGGCTCTATTCCCTAGCTCTGGCACTGACTTACTTTGTGACCTCAGGTGAGTCATTTTAAGGCACCACTTCCCAAGTGATTGCCTAAAGGTGGGCACTTAAATCCATTGTCAAGCAGTTAAATAGATGGCTGGACTGAGTGGTGTTAAGTGCCCCCTGCTCCCCTTGCCCTCAGCACCTGTGCAAAGGAGGCTACTTGATTAGGCCTTGTGCCTCACTGTAGCGCTCTTAAATCAGGACTAGTTCCTGGTCCTTTTACAGCAATAAGGAAGTCTCCGCCATGTGCCAGCCTGTAATGACTCACTGCCTGGCCAACAGGCTCCTGAGACTAGGCTCCACGCAGACTGCAAGACCAGAAGGAGACAATAACCCTGTGTAGCTGTGGTCCCCACCCTGCTTCACCTGCACACGGGAACACTTGGCTGTCAGAGGCTTCGAGGTTCCCAGCTGTAGAACTTTGCTCCTGGGACTCGACTGCTGCCACCTCCAGATAGAGATTTTCCTTGTTTCTTCTTCCCCCTACAGAACTCCTCCCTCCCTCTCCACAGACAGTGGTGTCCGCTCCTGTGGCCCATGGGCCCAATTCCCAGGAACTTCTCTGAATCCACCCTTTATTGGTGCAAAGTAGGATCCTTCCAGTTCACATTTTAACCCTTCTGTCCATCTGCCCTTTCTCCTGCTGTCTGGATCCCCCACAGCCTCTACACCTGTGTCCTCGAAGCTCCGTGGAACGCAGAGGCTCGGAAGTGGCTGCAGCTGGCCATCTTCTGCTCCCCGCTAGCTGCTGACCAGACTCACCTCCAAATCCGCATATACTTCCTCAACAACACACCCTGTGCCCTGCAGTGGGCAGTTACCAATGAGCAGCCCTTTCGAGGAGGCCTCTGTGGCCCAGTCCAGATCTTCGATTTCACTGGCAGGACCAAGGATATGTGCCTGGCTCTCAAGTACCTCTCGGATGGTAAGAGCAGCGGCTGCACCCGGGCTGGATTTTAATTAGCAATCTAGAGGTGGAGGGCCATGTTCTGTTCGTACGAATGGAGTTAGCGGGATTGTGCTGGTGTGCCTTGGAGCAGCGGCCAGGTTGTTATACAAGCCCTAGGCTATCCAGACCTCCTTCCTTTTCCTTTGTCTAGACCTTGACCCTGGTTCTGTACTGCAAATCAGAAACAGTTGTGCTGAGATCAGTGGGATGAAATGGTGAACGCAGAATCGGTCCCGTCAGTGCAGGGCTTTTATCTAGGTAGATAGTGCTTGATTTAGCCCATCTTTCAGGGACAGGAGGAAACCCCAGTCATACTGATCAGAGCTGGGCAGATACCACCAACACAGTTTCAGAATTGTTTCCTTCTGTTACTACATGAACATGCTTTTCCGGGACTGACACCCATTCATTCCCCTCACATGTTCTATTCTAACGAACAAGTCAGCTGGCAGGGATGTTCATGGAAAGCAGATTGCAAGCAAATATCAGGGAATCCTTGCGGAGAGGGAATGCTTAGTGTGTACAATGCAAAGGTCGCCGGCCTAACCCAACCTGCCTAGCTCAGACATGATTGGTCTCTGCTGTTTGAGATCTGGAGCATCAGGTTCAATCCTCATAGCGTTGGATCTAGAGCATAGATTCAATCCTCATAACATGACAGAGCTGTTCACTCCTGCCATCTGACAAGGTATGCACATCTGGTAATGAAGGAAAAACCAACTGCATGGCCCTTGTGTCCAGTCAAATGTTCTGGGTTCAAAATGCTCCCCAGCAGGAATTTGGTGAGAGAGATGGCTGGGAGAATGGATTTGGAGTGAAGAATAAATTGGAGAAAAAATGGCCTCCTCATGGATGATTCACGAAGAGGAATACTGGCCTAATAAATAACTTGTTATGAGCTGTCCTTCCAGTTCTATCACTAAGGCCCTGTTACTATAGGAAATGCAGGAGGTGTTTAGTGGGAATCATTGAGAAATCAAGTCATACACTTTTCCTTTTAGCTAAAAGCCCATTTATTTCAATCCATTTATGTCAGCACACCCAGAGATACAAGAAACTAATAGATTGATAATATTTGCCTCTGGGCATGTGTCCTCCAAGGGAAGAAAATCACTGCACTGGCGTTGTGCTGAATTTGATGAAAGGCCAGGAGTTTTCAAGGCAGGTGCTACAACTACAGGGACTGAGCAAAGAAAATGCGGCTCAAGTTCCAGGAGTTGTGTTTGTTCTTATTAACAATTAAATAGCAATAATATCCTGCCAGCTCCTGTTTCGCTCCCTGATAACTAACTAGCAAAAACCCTGTTGACTTTGACCTGTTGTGACAGTGCCTAAACATGAATGTCAGGAGTGTCATGCCCTAGAGATGTCTCTTCCATGGTCTGCAGTAGATCTTTCGAACAACCAAAGAAAAGAAAATTCCTACCACATTGTACATGGAGCTGTGGCAAAGAAGAGATTTTTCGAGCTATATGCTCTGCTGGTATAAATCAGCACAGATCCACTGAAGTCAGCAGAGTTGCACTAGTTTCCACTACCTTGAGGCTATAGGGAGTGCTAGCTCTTTGCACAGGATCTCTCCTCTTTAATCAGGAATCTCACTGTCACGTCTCGGTTCTTTGATGCAAGAAATACAGAAACCTGGAGGGCAATTAAATAACAGGGGAGGTGTACCATAGTGTGAGGCCACTACCGCCATTCAGAGCTTCACTGGAACCATTTCACCCCTGCAGGTTGGGAAAACGTGGATGACAGTAGCTGCCAGGTTGTCCCCCACCTCCACATCTGGCATGGAAGATGCCCATTTCGCTCCTTCTGTTTCCGGAGGAAGCAGGTAGCCCTCTCACTGTGTCTGTGCAAATGGCCCTATCCATTCATTGCTCAGAGCTTACTATGTGATTTTAAAAATCCCTCCAAAGAGCATGGTCTAGTGGTTAAAACAGGAGTCACTGGGCCTCCCGAGTTCACTCCCTACCTCCAGGGGTCTTGGCAGTTGTTAGAGCAAGAGACTGATTTATATTCTTATAATTGATTCCCCTCTCTGTGCCTCTGTTTCACCATCTTCAAAATGGGGCCAATAAATGCCCACTTTCCTGGGGGCTTGCAAGGGTCAGCTAATGAATGCCAATAGGAAGAAAGGCATTGCAGAAGGATAGAGCACAAATACTTGTTGCACAAGAGAAAGGAAAAACAGGTTCCTAATTCTCCTTGTTCTGAGGAGCATTAATGCTGAGCTGGGGGCTTATGGAGAGGCGAATTCATTTGCTCGGACCTGCTTTCTTCACAACTGTTTTTTAATTTCCTTTTGAGCCATTCAGAATGAAGAAGGGGCTGTGCCTAGTGGTGAAATCATTGTGACAATGCACACCTACCAGAGCGTGAGTCCTGCACTTCTGCCTGAGCAGCAGTCTCCCTGCTCAATCTAGCTACCTAATTATCAATTAAACCTGGCTACCTAATCTGTCTCTTTACCCTACTTAAGGCTTTCTGGTAGATTAGTCCAGTGTCATTTTAGGTCTTTGGATATCTGCCAAAAACCTGTACATACATACCCTATTTAGCTTATCTAACTACTTAATCTAATACATGCAATGGTAATGTATGCATCAAGGTAGATTGAGGTATTGAGGACCAGCACCCCCCTCCTCCTCCACCACCACCTTACTTGGTCTCTGGGGCAGGAGGCCTGGTGGATTACTAGAGCAGCTGGCAGGTTTATCAGAGCCATTTACCTTTTGTTAAAGTTTAACCATCAGCTGAGCAAAGAGATTAAACAGGGGCAGGGTTTATGTATAGATTAAGATGTGTGCATGTAATGGGTTTGTTAGAACAGAGGAATATGCTGACAGGACAGAACAAGAACAGTATGACAACCACAGGGAAACCAATCAACAGTGCCTGGGAATGAAG